GTTGTTTCATTTAAGTTACTCGAGTAGAGGTAAACGATCTAACGAGCTTCACATTGCAACGTTGCACACAATTATCACGCGCGAGTATAAAGGAAAACGAGCACCTCGTAGAAAAAGAGGAGAATCTTTCTCTTGAGTGTTCTCTTTGAATTTTTTATATTTTTTATTAGGCACGCGCCCTTATTGATTCTTGAGGGGTTACATGGGTTTACACCGGGAAAAAATAACATATTTTCAATAATTTTTTTTTCTATATAAAAAATGGAATTCTTATTGAAACTTTTTATAACATTTAAGATAAATATTTAAAGAACATTTTCTGAAATTTTGATTGGAAAATATTTTAAACTAAGCCATTGCGACGTCATTTCCGGTGACCACATCGAAAAAAAGTGTTTTCGCGTTGACAGCAGAACTTATAAACGGTGGGAGTATTTCAGTGGAAAAAATAGGGTCTTTTAGTGAATATCTAAAACTAGAAATTGGACGAAGGAACAAAAAAATTGAAATTTGGATTTTTGGCAACGTTTTTGGCAACGTTTTTGGCAACGTTTTTGGCAAGAACATTCAAATTTCGCTACAATTTGCACACCACATTTTGGTTTCTTAAAATTCAATTTGATGAAAAAAAAAATCCTTCGTCCAAGTCCTTGTCAATAGTATCTCGAAGATGTGTAGCAAATTTCATCAAGATCGGTTAAATAGTTTTCGAGAAATCTTGACAACCGACTTTAAAAAAAGCGTTTTGAGAAAAACGCGTTTAAAGTTTTGAGTGCTGATAAAAGAGCCATTTAAGAGTGGAACTTCCCAAGGATCTATCTGTTAAACTATTACTCCTATCGACTTCAAAATTAAATACAATATTCTAGATAAGTTGTAGAATTTAAAAAGATAAAAAAAGAAAAAATTGATTTTGTTGAAAGTCCCAAACCCATGTATTATTACTTTTCACAAAAAATGGAACTAACTCCGATTCAAAATTTAATCGAATTTTGTAGAATAAAGAAAATATTGCAAATTGTTAAATAAATCAAAAGAATAATTCTTTATGAATCTCAATACGCAACAAATTGATTTTCATCGTTACTTCTCTACTTTGAATACGAGGAAGCAAGGATTTTGGCAAACAGTGAGTCACGTAACGAAAAAGAAATCATTCCGAGTTTCATGGACACGGATGGCATGGCGAAAAGTGGGTGCGACTAAAATAGGAAAGAATAATTAGGCAACCTTGACGCGGAAGTCGAAAGTTAAAAAAGACCTCGCGAGACCATCGGCTTTGCTCGCTTTTGTCAATGACCGTTTCAATGTCACCATTCGCAAGCGGAAAGATTGCTCAAAAGGTTATTAACCTCTGAAAACGAGAGAATATCCGATCGACCTCAGTATTGATAACAAAACTCTTACAATAAACGACGTGCACGATATTAATCCGTAACTTTTCACGTCTGTAGGAAAAATTTCCGAATATGAAGATGAAAAAAGAAATGGAAAAGAGAATTAAAAATGAGAGAGAGAGAGAGAGAGAGAAATAGAAAGAGAGGAAAAGAAAATAGGATGTATCCGAGTAGAATGAAAAGTGTTCGATATCTTTTTAATACCACCTCCATTCAAACAAGTGTGGAGGGTGATGAAAACTCTTTCTCTTTCACGTAGAAAAAAACATAGAGAAATAGGGAAAGGGAAAAGCTAATGAAGAGAGAGAGAGATAGAAAATGGTGTAAGCTATAGCATCAGGATATTATCATGACCATGTTGAACCTGGTTCTGACATATCTATTACGCATTACCAAATAGAGACGACTTCAAATTCTATGCGTCGCTTCCCTTCGTGGCCCTTTTGCTTCCATAAAGGATAGATGGAGAAAGACAGAGAAGAGGAGAAGGAGGGAGACTGAGAAGAGGAGAAAGGACAAGGAGAAAGGACGAGGAGAAAGGACGAGGAGAAAGGAAAGGACGAGGAGGACCGAGCTGGAACAGACGTAGAGGTCCAATTAATCAGCCAGGGCGTGAAACGAGAAGGGCCTAAGGTTGGAGGAGACCCGGAGGAGGTACTGTCGCAGGGATTGCGCTGACAGATCCGTCGTATTTATCCCTATCTGCTCGTAGCATTAAATTCGTGCGACGCCAGTGGCCGTGAGAGAGATTCCCTCGAGCCGGTTAACATTCCTATACGCGTCGATTCAGCTTTCAATTAAACGCGAACGATCGAGGTAGGCACGTACCTCTTGAATCTAACTAAAAGAGTGATACCGTGAGCTTTTTCGAGGACTGCTTCGAAACGAAACTTTTCGAGTTCCTGAATGCGTGTTTGTATTTTTATATATATATATATATATCTATATACATATCTTTTTCTTCAACTTATACCCTCAAGTTCGAAAACCGAAAAACCCTCAGATAAGGGTTTTCGGTTTTTTTCATTTCATTAATTTTTACGTAAACGATTTTTAATTCCTTAAACATATTTCATTCGATTATTGCAAAAAAAAAGACTAGGAAATGTTTATAACGACCTAAAATGTAACGAATCGTAAGCGTTTAATGGAATACCTTTCAGAAAATCAACGAAAAATGACAAAATTGTAGGATTTATCGCAAACCATTGTGAACGATTTAGACAGATAATTATAATCTAAATACAATATCGTTGTAAATTTGCGAAGATACATATATTTCTACGTAGCGCGCGTTAACAATTGATTTAGTTCGATCAATAATTAAACAAACGTTCCTACCTATCTACGTATATATGTATATTATCGAGGAGAGGAAAAGGGAATGAAACTGGCTTTACGAAAAAGGCTTTCATGGATGTTACCGAGTTCAATCACGTTTCGCGCACGTTTTTCAAAACAGAAGCCGATTAATGCGAAGGATTGAACGGACGAGTGCATGAAAATTCAGTGTTGACTGAAAGGGAAAAAGAAAAAAGAGAAAAAAAAAGTAGAAACAACTTTATGAATTTTTATTCGCACTCGGTAACCACCCGTGCTCAATAATAATCTTCAAATTAGCGGGACATTACACATTCGTGTAAATTCATACATACGTCGAAAAAGGAATAAGAATTAATCAAAAAAATTGTAATTTATTCGTTCCCCAACTATAAGACACATTGATATTTTCTCTTTTTCTCTTTTTTTTTCTCTATTTTTCCCTTTCGTATTTAGGATAAAGGTACGATAAGAGAGTAATAATATACGATCGAAAATGGAACTAGTCGAGCCAATCGATCCTATCCAATCGATCGATCGATTATTACATTCGTAGTCGCAAGGATGTACACACGCCAACGGAGATTTATCTAATGCACTGGGAATTACCTGTTGATTCTCTGCAAGAGAACATTTTCTTTCTTTTCTTTTATCTATTTTTTTTTTTCTTTTTTTTGTTGATGCAAACACGTTAACCTAATTCATTTTGCGCGGTGACTCGAGGCAAGTATTATACAACCGATAGCATTTTCTCTCACGTTTCTATGTTTTTCAAATTTCTCATTTCCTTGATTAATCGAAGTAAAAAAAAAAAAAGAGAAAATAATCAAATGTGCATCGAGAAAGGAGTGAACGAGAATTAACGTTAAAAAAAATTAAAACGTCCATCGCTATTATTTAATATCGTTCGCCTAGGCAAACTCGGTCGGTTATCTCTCACATCGGACACTAAACGTACTCTAATAACCGGTGTTCGTTCGTTCGCTCGTTCGTTCGCTCGTTCGTTCGCTCGTTCGTTCGTTCGTTCGTTCGCTCGTTCGTTCGCTCGTTCGTTTATTCGTTCGTACCGACGTAAGATGGATTCCGAAAAAGGAAAAGAACCTAAGAGATTACCAGAGTAGAGTCCATATCCGCAAGGAAAAGTTTTGCAATCAATCAGAATTACCGTATCCGCTATCCGTAAGGTAAGGTCAGTAAATGCAGTGCACGGAAAAGTTGGAACGTAATTTATTTTTTCTCTTTTTCTTTTCTTCCTTCTCTCTCTCTTTTCTCTCTCTCTCTCTCTCTCTCTCTCTCTCTCTCTCTCTCTCTCTCTCTCTCTTTCACTTGCGTGTACTGTATTTGGTAAAATCGAACGTAATGTCATTCCCTTATCTATCCCCACCGGAATCGCAGCAGGAAGTATCTAACCGATCGCGGACACGTTCCGGACATTAATCGTCGAATTGCGAGGAGTCGTCGAACGATCGATGCTCGTCGAGTTTCGCGCAACAGATTAATCTCAACGTGGAAAATCGAAGCGCTGATATACTTTCCAACGATCCTACCACTGTTACGATTCGTTTGGTTGTACTTATTCGATTAAATTCTTTCTTTTCTTTACCTACGTTTTTTTTTTTTTCTTTCTTTTTCGACAATTTTCGCGGTCGTTAATCTGTATTAGCTTATTTTTATTTTCATCGTTTTTCTTATTATTTTGTTACTTTTTTATATTCGACTAGATAAACGAGACAAGCTAATGCAACGAACCGAAGAAGTAATAACAAAAAGGGGACTGAGATATTAGTTTATCATTTGAATAACCTACAAATAAATATTCTCAGATAAAAATAAAAGTAGTACTCGCAAGAGTAAAGAATAATATAAGAGTATGCGTGAAAAATCTAAATAACTTTTTATTCTATTTTCAACCTAGAGTGAGTGAGAGAGAGAGAGAGAGAGAGAGGTGGTTGTTGAAACAAATGATGCGAACGCTAATTAGCTGGCACGAAAATAATATCTCGCCAATGTTAGAGTAAACGTGGCTTAGAACGAAGGCATTAAAAAGTTTCATATTAACACGACGGTCGAGATGTTATTTAGCTCCTCTCGGAATTTTCGGTTTACGCGTTGTTCTGTGCTAAAGGGACACGCTTCAATTCATTTCGTAAACAAGTTCATTAAAAAAGTCTAATTAGAATATTTTCACCTTATCCTTTGGTATCCGTTAAATATATAACAAAAGTTCAAATTCGCAAGTCATGCATGGAACGTAATAAAAATTAACTATAAATTATCTATTCCATGTTTAGAGTTTCTAATGAAAAATCAAAATTGTTAATTGAAAATAAATGTAAGCAGGAATTGATCGAAACGAGACCAAACTTGATTCAATTCTATCGAACATTAACGAGAATCTTTGTATTTAATAATAGTGGCAGATGTCCCGTGCGGTAATGGGGAAAGCGGAACGCGGACCGCCCGGATCGTTGGAGGTGAAAACGCGATACCGCGAGAATTTCCTTGGTTGGTCAGCATTACGAGAAAGGGTGGCCATTTTTGTGCCGGTACTATACTCAACTCAAGATTCATTCTGACCGCCGCGCACTGTTTATGCTCGTGAGTAATCATCTTTTTCTACTCTATTCTTTTAAATGCATCCTTACCCGATGCTTAAAATTAGCTACTCTTGTTTCGTCTCATTCATGTTTATAATTACATCATATTAATTGAGATTATTTCTGAAAGATGTTAATATTACGCAACGTAATACAACTTTTCATAGATAAAATCGCATGATTTTAAAATGAGATCGTAATCGATACCTCTGATTTTGTTATTTTCAAAGATACATTCGAGGTTATTCAAAAAAAGATTCTTCTATTTCTTCTTAAACCTTCTTCAACTTCGAATTTACGTATAAAATATAGTGATATTAAGGCGAGGAAAGCGTCAGTCGAATTTTCAAATAACGGATGCAAAATAATAACGGCGAATATATTCAAAAATATTCATAGACGAGCAATCCATTCCCTTTATGGAAGGATGCCCATTTTTCTTTTCGCAAATCTGATGAATACGCCTGATCGCTCAACGATATCTCCTACCTACGCGTTGTTTTATACAGAGAGAGAGAGAGAGAGAAAGAGAGAGAGAGAGAGAGAGAGAGAGAGAGAGAGAGAGAGAGAGAGAGAGAAGAACAACAAAAAAACGGAACAAAACTCTATCTCGTTTACATATACATCGGTATTGTAACCACTAGTTGTCAACGATAAAATTAGTTACAAAAATAGGGAGATTTTGGAATAAAGGTGGTAGGACTAATCGAGCTTTAAAACTCGGACTCATGCCAATTTGACAGGCTGCGGAAAGCCGATATCGAAATGTAGGCATTGCCCTACGCGTTGGAAAAAGACACGCTATCGTTGTTCAAATTCTTTTTCGGTAAAGTCATTTTTTTTCATATTGTAAAAACCATTTGTTATCCACGTTTACTTATTGCCCGGTGGTTGTTTCACGAAAAGGTAAAAAAAAAAAAAAAACAAAAACCCCCCGAAAAAAACATTGAAAGCATAAAAAACATAAAGAACATAAAAAAGATAAATGTTTGATCTCGTCAAATCTATAGGCATGCATATCTTGGAACCGCAACTTTCGAAGGTAATACGTGTAAAAGGAAAGAAAAAAAAAGGTAGTCGAAGTTTCTCGTTTTGTTCTATACCTCCTCCTTCGAGTGCAAATGCAAAGAATATAATCCTATTGTATAATGCAACCTTAGTCTTTCTCTCTCTCTCTTTCTTGCGCATATGCACGCACACACACGTACACACTCATTAATCATAGTTCAACGTAGGCAAACAACTTCCATCCATAACGAAAAAAATTGTTGATAAAATTACGTTTCTCTCGCGCCGCGTTATTCGCAATAAAATGGAAGGAAAATGAATCTAATGTATTTTGCTCGGTGACATGCCATCGGTGTGCACTATAAACAGAGAGTGGGTGATCTCGTGCGAGCAATTACAAAATATAAATTGCGTACACGGTGAACGCTAAAAACAGGAGCGGTTAATTTATCTCGTTGCTCGTTTTACAAAGCTAAAACGATACCTCCCCATATCCATCCCTTTGACAATGTATGCTATTTAATATTATAATTTCGATTAAGCTTCATTTTTTATCAGCTTTTCATATACCATTATTAAGAAATGATTTTAGAGAAAAAAATTTTTCTCTTTAAAAAATGGTTCGATAGCAAGATGACGTATCCTAAAATGCATTTGAACGTCGAATCGAATCTCAAAAAATTGATATAGGTCAGAGATATCCTTGCATAACGGGTATAGAAAATACATTTGTGATGTGCCAAGTTAAATTCTAAGAATTTATATAGGCCAACAACGATACCTTTAACACGTACATACGTATCGAAACCGCACCTACTTATTTATTGATTCATCTAATATTCATTCAAATTCAATGAATTTATATAGGTCAGTAATCTATTGAAAATATGATATCTATTAAAAGAAAAACTAATTGCCATTGACTCGTCTCATTCAAATTTATGTAGGACAGTAATACTCATATAATTTCGTATCGAAGATAATATTCTATAATAATTTCTATTTAAAAAAAAAATTGAAAAAGCACATACAAAATAGGAATTTATAATTTAAAATAAGTATCACAGTTGATTCTTAGCGATTGCTTTTCGATTGTTAAGAGATTTTGTGTATATTTTAATATCAAAGTAATCTGTTCAATTTGGTATTACATCGCGAAACGAAGTAAATTAAAAGAATATCTAAAGATTTTTTACCGACAGATAAAGAATATCGTGTAATCTTGTACTAATCTAACATAGTTCGAAGTCGTGCTATGCATAACAGTAAATTCAAACGTATGGGCGACGGGTCGTACATTTGGAGAGATTCGAACTGTTAGTTATCGTGTATCCTTCCCGGTCATTGGTTCGAGAACAAAGGGAAAATAGGAAGGAAGAGGATGTAGGTAGAACGGATACAACGGGAATGAGAATTCTAGCTCTCGCAGAGAGGGTTGGTCGGTGCGCAGAAGCGCACAAGCGCACAAGCGAGAACGCATTTACCGTTGCGAGCCATGATTGCGTGTAGATTACAGACCACTCGGTAATTGCTAGCAGCCATGCACAAAACGCACCAGTGAGATATCACAAAGAGGTATGTATGCATGTATATATGGAGCGAGCAAGAATTAAGGCGAGTAACTTACTCTCCTTGTTGTTTCTCAACCATAGTGCGAACGAATCAACCTTTTACTCGACAAAAAATTCCTCCTACGAAGCTATAACAATAATTTTCTTATTTTTGTCAACAAGTTAAAACGCATTATAATGTATATATATCAGTTTAACATTTTTGCTCGAACAAACGTTTTCAGTCCTAAACAAGAAATACAAAAATTAAATAAATATCGAAATTAATTATCGCTCGAAATAATCGCAGCTTTAAACATTCGACCGAGATCAAAGATTTTGATGCGCAAACGTATATCGAACTCGATATTATTTATCTAAAACCCGAGTAAATAGCCTGATTCACTAAAGTGAATCAACTGTTCATTGAGGAATCGAAAAAATGATCTATACGTGTGATTCGAGTACATGAAATAAATGATGGATACCGACATGAAAGAGAAAGTGATGAATAACAAAAAGAAAAGGGCGAGAAGGGAAAAGGAAAAATCTTATATCTAGGTATAAATATTTCAATCGAATGAACACGACATCGATGAAGAAAAAGGACAGACATCTAGTAAGAGATAAACTTTATAATCCGCGGTTCATGGAACAATAGCAGTAAAGAAACTGGCTGCGGAATGGAAAGGGTCCATTAAGACAGCTTCTTTGCAAGATACAACGACGACGAGGAAGAAGACGAGAAAGGAAAACGAGTTCTGGAGAAGAGCTTAGAAAGCTTCGTTCTGAAAGGGAAATACATGTATATATATATATGTAGAAGGAGAATGAGAGAAAGTGAGTTTCCAGAATGGGCGCCTGTGCGTTTAAGGAGATAGTGTCGTAATTTTGTTAATTATTCGGAGGTAGAGTAAACCGATTAATTAAGTGAAGCCACTGTAGCGACTCTCGGTGGGAGAATCCAAGAGACGAAGATGCGTCGTCGTCGTCGTCGTCGTCGTCGTCGTCGTCGTCCCTTACGCCTGAAATCCCGCTTAAATAATTGCAAACGTCCAAAGAAAGACTTTTCTTCTTACGACACAAAGATAAACTTCTTTTTCTTTTTTCTATCATTTCCTATAGGAGATACGAAGAAAGTCCTTTCGCAATGAACAACTAAAACAATTCGTTTTTTTTTAAATATATAGTATATAAATGTCGTCAATTAATAGCATTCTCTGACAGAATCGTATCGCAGAGTCGATCGACCGCGATATTGGGTGCGTGCATTCGAACCGAGATAATCGACCACAATTGAGAGAAATTGTTCGTCTATAACTAATACATATTCCTAATCGATCTTAAAGTAAAAATTCTGATACATTATTTTTACGTGCATACGAGGATCAAACTTTTCACGCAATATCGTGTGTTATGGCGTTCACATTTCTTTTTCTTAATTCTTTGTCAAAAAAGGAAAAAAAATGGAAAAAAAGTTCGAGTAGGATCGATTGAAAAGAATAAGTGAAAAAAAAAAAAGAAAGAAAAAAAACAGAAGATAAGGCGTAATTAGGTCAAGAAGGAAATAAGTAACCACAGGCGAGCGGCGAATTCGCGCGCATTATCTTTATAATGGATTATACCAGATTATTAATTTCGTAGCCGCTCCACCGCGCTTAATCTTTTCCACTTCAATTCCTTTTACGTCTTATTCCAAAGCACACTCCGATCTCTCTCCAATTTTTTTAATGGAGTATCTTCCATTGAATAAATTGGAAAGAAAATTGAATAAACGCGTAGTGATGTTAGTGCGAGCGGAAGGAACGAACGGCTGGAGAAAGGTTTGACTTCCGCTCGAAAGCGCGACGAAAAATTGTAATGAAGGTTCGGCATGTAGTAAAGATAAGAATAGTAGCTGAAAAGGAATAGAATCGTTTCTCGTAAATCCCCATAATAGTGCTACTCGTCCGAAAAAAAAAGATTTAGTAATCGCGGTTGACGACTCGTCTAACTTTGCTTCAAGTTATAATCAAAATCATTCGAAAACAATAGAAAAATAAAGGAAAGAGGAAAGTGAACGCGTCGAACGAGTATCGTTAATATTCGAGATGAAATTACGAAATCACGCGCGACGTGCGGATTCGCT